ACAGGTAGTCCTCAAGGAGAAGGTGGCATTAGAGCAGAGACCCGAAGGAGATGAGAGAAGAATGATACAGGTAGACGGCACAGCCCCTGCAAAAGGCCCTGGGGTAGGACCATGCCTAGTGTGGAGGTACAGCAATGAGGCCCTTGGCTGTAGCAGAAGGAAGAGAGAGAGAGAAGGAGGGGAGAGAAGGAGGGGAGAGCAGGTGTATAGTAGCCATTATAACTTTGGTTTTTACCCTGAGAGCTGTGGGGAACCACAGGAAGGAGGCAGCGGGCAGCATGGCCTTTAGGGAACAACAGAGAAAACATGCTCACACCCTCCACCTGCCCAGGGCGGGCAAGTACGTAATAATCTGCTGCACAGAGTCCCTCTAAGAGGATGAGTTTCCTTGGGACAGGGCAGAATTAGTCTTGGAGTCTGAATGTCATTTTAGTTCTTGGAGACCCAGACTCTTTTCTGATTCTGATGGCTTTGGACCTGAATCCATGGCAACCGAGAAAGGTTTAGCTAGGACCACTCCCCTTCTTTGAGTAGATGTGGGTGATGACTGCAAGATCCCTGGGCTGTAAGTTGCCCCAGAGGCTTTCAGTGAGAGCCCCCCAGGCAGAGTGAAGGAACTCCAGGACCCAGGGAGAAAAGCCTACTGAGAACCCAAGGGGATGCGGACACCTTAGTCTGAGGAGCCACCTCCCTGCAGGCCCAATATTAGGCAGTATCCAGCATCCAGCCTTACTGGGAGTGGGAGGGAGACACACAGAAACCTCAAGTACGTTTTTTCCAGAAAAGCAAAAAGTCCTCGGTGGTGGGGGTAGGATACTGTGTCCCACTGGGCCCTCCTTCAGGGTGCTCTGGCCTGTCCCTGCTAGAACTTCTTGTTCTTACTCAGGCGATTGTGGCGCCAGATGTTTTGTTTTCGCAGCAGCCGCCAATACTCCCGTGTCTCAGGATCCAGCTCCTCTAGCTTTTTGGGGGGCCCCAGGTTCATCTGGAATAGCCACTCGGGGTATTCTGCGTCTGGCTTCAGGGCCACATCTTGGCCTTCCTTGTAGATGTTGACGCCCATTGCATACGAGGTGAGCCGGACAGGGTCCGTGCACACATCAGGGTCCTTCAGGCTCTCACTGGCTACACCACCTTTACCCCCTCTGCCTCCTTTCATGACTGGTTTCTTGGCATAATCTCGGATCAGGAGTCTTCCAGGAGCGGCAGGGCCTAGAAGTGTCCGAGCCCCCCAGCTGGCCCACGTGCAGGTAGCACTGAAGAGGCGCCTGGCAGCCATTACGGGTTGCCCGCTGCTTGCATGTGCACGCTTCCGGGAGATGTCAGCGGCCCAGGGGGTGCTTGGGAGTTGCGTGCCCCAGAGATTTCTGGGAAATGTAGTCTTCCCAGTGGGCATCTACTTACTGTGACTTTATTTTAGACTTTTGCAGACATACTCAGTTACGGTATGAGGAGCGTTCAAAGGTATTTCATTGACGTATTGCCCTTCTTCACTTACGTAACATTTACTTAAAATATCACACTTTATGTTTCTGATTCCATCAATGAGCAATTCTTGAAAGCTTCGGGTCCATTACGCGGTGTAGCGGGGCTAGATGATCTGACTACATTTCCCCTTAATTCAAATTTTTATTTGTTTATATATATTTAGGTAATTGTTTTTGTATTATAAAGGAATTTTAGCATTTATTTTTTAACATGGAGTTACACTGTTAATGCAGACACATAAATAAAAGAATTCTCCTAATACATAATGCACATCCCTGTTTTTTTCTCAAAAATCTGGGCAAAATGTGTGCATTATATATGGCAAAATACCATTAAAAAAAAAAAATCTCTTTAAGGTGCCATAATTGAAATGATTTTGTTCCAATGAGTTTTCTGCCTTTTGCTACTAAGTTAGATATTCAAATTCCAAATTCCAGAAGAGTGGCTGATGGGTCTTAACGTGGGGAGTTTTGCACCAGCCCCCTCAGGGTGGCAGCAGCTGTGGGGCACCTTGATTGACAGTTCCTACTGAGTTCACGTGGGTGTGGGTTATCCCTCTTAGTAAAGCTGGAGTGCTGCTATCAAAACAAAGACTAAGGTAAAAACAGCGGATGTCTTCTACATGTAATTTTATTTTAAGCTATAAATTACACAGACTCTGGAGTGTTTGCACAGGATATGGAAAAGCTTAGACTGTTATCCAGTTTGCTCTCCTGACGCAGAAGAGAAACAGGTGGGAAGCTGCATGCCGAGGGTGTGGCCCTGAGATAGGGATCCCTGGGATGTTTGGGCTGCCATGGGTGGTTCACCCAAAGCAATCTACATCATTCGAGCCTCTAGGGAAATTTCAACTATGATGAGGAAGTGCCGTATTCCAGAAGGGGAGATTCTGGTTCCTAGAATCCTGCGCCTTTCCACAATTACAATGGGAACTCTAAACACAACAGGAAACAAGAAGATGAGCGAAAATCAGAGCCTGGAAAATAGAGAGCAAGATGAGTTGGGTTTGGAAGAGTGAGAGCGTCTGTTATGGCAGCAGTTCTCAACCTGCGGATCATGACCCCTTTGGCGGTTGAATGACCCTTTCACAGGGGTCGCCTAAATACATCCTGCATATCAGATATTTACATTGCAATTCATAACAGTAGCAAAATTACAGTTAATGAAGTAGCAACAAAAATACTTTTATGGTTGGGGGTCACCACAACATGAGGAACTGTATTAAAGGGTTGCAGCATTAGGAAGGTTGAGAACCTATGTTATGGGATAAAGAGGTCTGGCCTCCTGTCACCATCAGCCAACAAGCAGAGACAGGGATAGGTCCACCAAACTCGGTCAGAAGGATGGGATTCTGGAGATCAGTGAGAGTAGCCTCTCCAAGACTGCCATTTCCAAAACCAAAATTTCATATATAAAAGTTCAAAGTGAAAATCACATTACTCTTTATCTTAAACAACAATAATCAGCATAACCCATGACCCATAATAAACAACAATTAGCATTATCCATGACCCAAAACAACATTCCAATTCAAAGGTTAATCTCCTGAATCAATTGTCTTAAACTACTCAAGATATACACTTTGAGTTTAAAGCTGAATTTGCAAAACAGCAAGAAGGGGAGCCAGGAGGTGAAGGTCAGGGAGGACCTGTAGAACCTAAACTGACCAGGCCAGCTATGTCTGCTCAGCCCCTGAACGACTCCATCTCACTCTCATCATATGTGCTTTTACATCCAGTCATCAAAGCCATGGACAGGGTTAATGTTCCCAGAACATTTCCAGTGCCCTAAAATGGGAGGCTCAATGAATGTACAAAGAGGCCCCTCAGGGCTATAGAGGTACCAGCTTCTAAGGGTCCAAAAGAGGAAGTGGGCAAACACCTGCCCAGTGGGGCTGCTGTATCGCTTCCGTCCTTATCTGGTCCAGATGTTTCACGTCTTTCATCAGTGAATTTCTCCATCATCTTTGCACCACCATGAACCAGTATTTACTGTAGACCAGGGCTGATCCACACACTATCATTGACATGCAGTCAAATTAAAAAATAGAGAAAGAAAACTTCAGATTTCTGGAGTGAGGCTTTTATAAAACAAAACCTATTCAATTTAAAGGTTTTTCTTTGATTCTAAAATTATGTCTTCACACATTTTAATGTTAAAATATCCTCATTTTTAATGAAAAGATGGCAAAAAATGGATGGTAGTTTTTAAAAATCTTTCTACTTGGCATAATAAATACTGGTTTCCTCTCTTGATATTTTTAAAATAATGTTAATATATGAAATACATGATCTGAAAACCATGATTCTAAATGCTTTTAAATCTCTTACTGTTTGCTTCTCAGGTGAGTCTGTGTGAGGAAATTCACTTCCCACATATCTACAGCAGCAAGGGACATCCACACCCTGCTCTCATCCAGTTACCGGCACTCTGACTCTGGGACCGGAAGTTCAATTTTATCTGCAAAATAGCAGCAATTACTGTATTTACTTCTGAATTGTTTTTTATGAGGTGCTCAACTGATATTCAAACTAAAACCTATTTCTGTTACCAGTCTCAGGTAACTATCTCTCAAATTACAGAGTTCCGACTTTAAAGCCTGGGTCTTTCCAATGAAATTTCTGTATTGAAATAGTGTTCAGATCATGAAGGCCTAAAATTGTAAAAGTTTGCTCCTTTCATATGGTCTGAAATACACTTGTCCCCGAAGAAGAGCATCTCTATATTTGACAAGTGTCTGATTGTTCCGATGCTGTGACAGGTCTTATCTCTGACTGATATTTCGTGAGACCCATCCATTATTAGCAGGTAGTGTGACGTGTAAACTCTGGGCCGTAGGTACAAGGTAGTTCTTCAATACTTTCGGTGTAACAGACTTCACGTTCTTCATGGTCATGGTAGCTCTCTCTCATCAAGAGCCAGACATTGAGGTGTCACTATTTAAACCTGCCATGTTTTCTATGACTGAAGTACAGCTCGTTGGAAGATGTCAACCAAGATTTTAGAGAAGGGAAAGATGAAAATCTGTCTTTAGTTGCTTAAAACAAGGCTTTCCTTAAATTCTCCCAACATTCAATGGGTATGGAAGTAAGTAGTCAATGATAAATTTTGAGTTAATTTTTGTATAATATGTAAGTTTTAGGTTGGGAGTTCTGGGTTATTTATTTTTTTATTACATGTCTGAATACACAATGTCTCCAGTACCATTGGTTAAAAAGAATGTTATTTCTCCCTTGAACGGTCTTTGTACCTGATGGGTCTATTTCCGTGCTCTCCACTCTGTTCCACCATCAGCATATGTATGTCCATCCTCCAACACCACGTGGTTCTCAATGCTGTCTATCTAGAACTCAGAATGGTTCCTCCTCTTGTTTTTCATAGATCTTTCAGCTGTTCTAGTTCTTTTGCCTTTCCATATACATTTTAGAATAATTTTATCTATGTCAACAAATAAAAGTCATATATACCCTCCAAAAAAACCTCAATGAGGGGATTTTAATAAACCTGTACATTGGTTTAAAGAGCATTGACGTCTTCTACTTTGTTGAGTTTTCCAGTCTATAAACACAGACCATCTCTCCGTTTATTCAGATCTTTCCTGGTATCTCTCCCCAGTCTTGTAGTGTTCAGCACAGAAGCCGTACACGTGTCTTGTTAAATTTACACCTAAATTTTCAAGTTCTTTTAAGGAATTATAAATGCATTATATCTTTCATTTCAGTTTCCACGTGTTTTTTGCTAACATATTGAAATACAGTGGAATTTTAGAATTTTTTTTTTTGTACATCAAAAGGATTTTTATGATGGTGGAAAATGCTAAAGAGAAACATCAGGTACTAATGGCAGGATTAATACACATATTAATACTCATGACGGGATTAACACAGATATTAATACTAATGACGAGATTAACACACATATTAATACTAATGACAGGATTAACACAGATATTAATACTAATGATGGGATTAACACACATATTAATACTAATGACAGGATTAACACACACATTAATACCCATGACGGGATTAACACACATATTAATACTAATGACGGGATTAACACACACATTAATACCCATGACGGGATTAACACACATATTAATACTAATGATGGGATTAACACACACATTAATACCCATGACGGGATTAACACACATATTAATACTAATGACAGGATTAACACACACATTAATACCAATGATGGGATTAACACAGATATTAACACTAATGATGAGATTAACACAGATATTAATACTCATGATGGGATTAACACACATATCAGTACTCATGATGGGATTAACACACATATCAGTACTCACGACGGGATTAACACACATATCAATACTAATGATGGGATCAACACACATATTAATACTCATGACAGGATTAACACACATATTAATACCCATGACGGGATTAACACACACATTAATACCCATGATGGGATTAACACACACATTAATACTAATGATGGGATTAACACACACATTAATACTAATGATGGGATTGACACACACATTAATACTCATGATGGGATCAACACACATATCAATACTCATGACGGGATTAACACAGATATCAATACTCATGGTGGGATTAACACAGATATTAATACTCGTGACGGGATTAACACACATATTAATTCCTATTCTCGTTCAGTTCTGTTCTCATTCAGTTTGAGATTGTCTTGGTCCTTGGTATAACAGGTGATTTTTTTGTTAAAACTTGGTCACTTTGGATATTGTATCATAAGACTCTGGATCTTATTTAAACTTTGTGCACTGGGAGG